GGTTAGCTACGCCGGGATTCGTTTCAGCAAGTAGATATCCATATATTTAAATGGACCTTGTTGGAGCATACGTAATCCTAAAATGTAGCATCGTACTACAGATGTCGCTCACCACGCCATTTGTGGTATTTTCTATATAAGAAGGGTCAGAAAAATGAACAAAGATGTTATTATTAATCGTTTGGGTCACTATAGCCGAATATGATTTCTTGAGAATTAGTCATAATAAACGATATGTCATTTTAAACGGAGTCATTATATCCAAACTTTCCCATAGAGAATTTAATATGAAAACCAAACTTAACACTACAAGTACTTCATATTAAGCGGTTGGTCAATATTGGCGGAGTCATAACAAACGAATTCCACTGTATGTTTCATTTTCCCCTTTTTGAGTAAACACCGAAATAAAGTACCAGAAGTTTGAACGTTCAATATTTCTTTTCTAAGTCTTTTATTTCTGTAATCGACTGTGCTTAAATTATGTCCAAGATTATTTTGAACGAAAAAGAAAAAATAAATTCTAACCACAGCAGAAGAAATGAGATAATCAGGATTAGAAGTTGGCTTGATTTTGGAAAAAAATGTCGGTGAAGCGCTCTCCTTTTATAACAAAACTAATCCGTTCAAAGAGAATGCATTAATCAGGACTGGGAAAGACGTGCCGAGCAAAAAGAAATTTGAAAAGTTGGCGGAAGTGATGTTCAGCCAAGTGGAAATAAAGATAAAGAATAAATAAGCACGGAAATGAATGTGGTAGAAAGGCGACGAGTTCGTAGCTTTCAAATAAATAGGATCCATCATGTTTCCCCGTCCACTATATACTTTTTGCTTCCCACAGGATCGTTTCAATGCATTGCCGTCCAACGATTTTTTGACCACGCCACAAAGAATACTTTTTACCGTTCACAAACCATCAGTGTAATTTACATTTCTTACATTTTGCCAAGAAATTCATTAAGTATAGATTTCGCCTAGTTTTAAACACTTCGGCGTGTACAATTTTGGGGTTTAGTGTTTTACATATATAATTGAACGTATCACATAGGTATATCGTAGGTAACTCATACATTGGCTGTAACTGTAATTTTATCTTCAAAATTAATATATTTTTCACCTAGATAGATGATTGTAGAATTACATAAGAAGAAGACGATCAATTTCAAAATTAAAATAAATAAAAACATATTTAAGAAATTCTATGGGCCCCGTCTAATGAATTTGCCTCATTTCCCTTACTGACTTTCATATAGCACCCTTTGCTCTCCTAATACTCTCTAATTCCTCTTCCTTTCTAACCTTTCTTATGCACAGTATTTTCATAATCTGCCTACAACCCACATCTCAAATACCTCTTTTGTCTTTCCGTGACGCCTACGGCCTACCACCCACATTTCGCACCGTTATTCCAAAAAATAAACCACGTTTTCATGAGAATTAGTGACTAATTTTCATTTTCATTAATTTAACACAAAAGGTGGAAGTTTTAACTGCTTCTTTATGTTTAAGGAAAAGAAAAAATTAAAAAGAAAATAATTCTTTCAATTATAAAAAACAGACTTTTCAGAAAGCCAAAAATATTCTGATTTAAAAATAATTACATTTCTTCTAAAATAAATCCGGGAATAGGTATTTTAAGATATTTTGATTTTAAAATCTTCAAATTCGTTATCAACAAAACTTTCACTACCGTTTCTAAGGTAGTAACTGCCATGAGCGCAGCAACCCCAATTTCTCAAGGAGTGCCTCAAGTGACTATATATATATACATTATATATGTCTTGCTATCAAGTTGAGATCTGAATATATTTAAGATAATCCAAGATCCACTCTAAAGCAAATATGCATCTAATTATCGGTATATTTTCCATAAAATCGATCAAAACTATCAGCAATCCATTGTCCCCTTAGAGGTGATTTCATGGTTTTAAGTGATACTTCATAATTAAAAAAATATAGGGAAATAATTGAATTTATCATTAAATTTAAAGATTGGTTAATCTTAATGATAAAATCTTTCAACAGACATAAGCTGTAGACGTGTAGACACTTAATTACTAGTTAATAATATGCGTTTGAAGTATCTATTTTTAACTGTTATATATATTTTTAAAATACAAAAAGATTTAATTTAAGTCTATCAAAATTAATAAATTTTTAAGGTGACGAATAAAATTTTTTTTATTTTGAATTTACTTTCTTGAATGATCTTTTTTTCTCATTTGCCATCAGATAGTACGTAAGTGGGTTTTAATAAACTTGGGTTTTTGATGAGTCAGGGTGCCCACCATAAGTGAGAGGGTGCTTAGGCTCCCTGGGACCCCCTATTGTTGCATCCATGTTAACTGCAGCAGCAATTTCTGCGAATACTCATCAAAAAAGTAGTTTTGGACATGCTTACTGAATTAATTTTTTGAATAACCGCGTTTCGTACCCGCTTAAGAATATATTTCAGTTATTACTGGGAATATTTCCTATTTTAAATAGCAGCAAAGCATAAAATATATGTTAAATACATTAGTTTTTGTTACATTTTTATGTATGTGGATGAGAGATATGTACATTTAATTCAGCTAGACTCACCTGATAAATAGTCAGCGAAACAGCTTAACTTAGGTACCTACTGGAATCATTAATTTAATTACATTTGAATTTCACTGCATACAGATGCGCAACGTAATACTTACTTACTTGTCCACCCCCTTATTTATTATTCCGGAAGCATATAGTGATTTATTACACGATGTCAGCGAAAACAGATGTTTAATTAAAGTTGCTCGCGAATTAGAGAAGTTAAGACGTAAGACAAGACTTCCAAGCAGAGAACTGTTTCAGCTTTATTCTCTCATATGAAGCGAATTTCGCCCTTAAGTAGAAATCATAAATACGAATATGGAAAAGCAACAAAACATTATCTTACATAAGTCAATCGCATTTTAGCTTAGAGAATCGGCTAGGTAAGCTACGCCTTCCCTTTTATCTTTTGAGGATCAAAGTGATATCGATTTATTCATAAAAAGAAAGTGCATTGAATTATTTATAAATCGCATAAAATGCTATTTCACCATGAACTTTTTATAAAGAAGAAATCTTCTATAATGAACAAGACGAAAGAGAATTTAGAAAAAACGTTTGGGTGTTTCATTCCCGCCAGCCAGTAATGCTGGTCGACGGGCAGTCCCTTCGGACTACGCCGAAAGGTAGGACGGAAAGCCCTCTTCAGTCTCCTTTCAGGAATCGTGGGAATGGGTGGGTGGTGGTTCGGGTGAGAAAGATGAGACGGACGAAATCAAGACAGAAGAGAATGAAAAATTATCTGTGGAATATTACTGCTCCAGCATTTGCCTAAGTGATCCAAGGAAATCACAGAAAAACTTGGACTAAAGCAAACGGATCCGGAATCGAACCGGAGTCCTCTTGCATGCTAAACAACGGTCTAAACCTCTAGCCCATGCCGCTTGGTGAAAATTTAGATATTGGTATATGTTTAAGTAATTATTCAAAAGGCCCTGTTCGAACTCGACATAACAAGATAAGGTACTGGTAAAAGACTGAGAACATAAAGCGCTATGTAAGCCAATGCTGAAAATGAGAGATATGATGGTTGGACACCTTTTGAGACTTGAAAGGGTAGCTAGGGACATATTAAAGCAGAAACATGAATAAAAAGGAGGCAGAAGAAGACCTACATGAAATTACTGTTCTGTT